AAACAACTGACCTCGAAACCATCCTAACTGTAGCATAAGCCATTCAAACACACTTTCAGTTAACTCAAACCTCAGAGGTTTTATGAATGGGCAAAAATGCCCCACTTACACGCCAATGTCTCATAGAAATTCTGACCAGAAACACTGGATGATATTCTACGATCAACGCTCCGTTTTCTTTCCTGGTGTTCCAATAGTTTTGCCTGGAAGTTGATTGTATAAAATTACACCGCACTCAATGTAAAATAATTCTGCAGGCGTTGTGCTGTTCCATCTGTGTGTGTGTGTGTGTGTGTGTGTGTGTGTGTGTGTGTGTGTGTGTGTGTGTGTGTGTGTGTGTGTGTGTAGTGGCCCACCGTTGGGCTTCTGGGACCTTAAAGACATAAAGCAGAGACGAGGGCGAAAGGTTAATAAACACACACATGCACCCTCACGCACTCATGCAGAAACATTAACACTCACCAGACACACACATTCAAAAGGCTTTTATTTTCCGGGCCTTTTGTTTCCCATTAGAATGAATTAATTGCCGCAAGCTTGCATGTGGACTTTTTTTTTTTTTTTTTGCATTGGATTTCAAGTTATGCTCAGGATATTCTTGCCTCTTTTTAAATAAATAGGGACACACCGAGGATTAAAACACAGCTCACGCACGCTAATATGACACATGTTTTGACCCCGGGGTTAACGCAGCACTATGAGAGTGGCCAGGGCCAAGAGTGGGGGCCCACTCGCTCTGCCTTTTTTCAGATTATTCAAATGAGCAAAGACATTTTTTTATTTTCCGTGGCTATTTAATTGAAATATGGAATAAACTGTTTCAAAGAATGATGCAGACGGAAACATTTTGCACCCACAGAGCAAGAAAGTCATCTCTCCAAGGGAGAGGGCGCTGCAAATGTACTGGATGACTTTTTGCCGGAGCTGCGATATAAAAGTGAAATGGTAGGCTACGTGGTTTATCAACAAGGCTTTCGTGTTTATTCAGCTTGGAGCAAACATTGCAGGCTTCCTAATAACACTTTGGGCTAGTTCCTGCTCAGCGTGTACAAGAGCGCTAACGTATGGCCCTCGAGCTAAATTGATGTCAACAGCTTCGCGCTCACTTGGGAGTCCATCTTAAGTTGCGTACAACACCATGTATGGAAATAAGCACTCCATTAGCATCAAATCGCATGCACTTATTTTCTCTCTGGTGGCAATTTGAGAGCCGCAATCAATCAAAAAGTCAGAGTTGCAGCGTGTGACGATGTCATAGAGTGGCTATGCCGACCCCCTCCCCGCCCCATCACACACTTTTTTAAAAATATCTATATTTTTTTGTAATCTCGTTATGCTTTATTGTCCATTACTGTTTATCTTAAGTGGCACCTACAGTAAGTGCTCGCGGCTATATCGTGTTGTGCTCATTTTCACAGTAGGTAACTTGGTCGTTTTGTTCCACGGCATTTCCTTGCTCGTGTTGCTCATGTATTTGATTTGCGATCCGTCAGATCAGAGACCCACACAAAATGAGAGGAACAAAATGGATTTGATACAGTATGTCGTCTTTCTTAAACGGGTGTAATTGAGTATATTTCCGGTCTTCTTCTGTGACACATTTGATCTACCTACCGTAGAGCTCGACAATAATATATAAACAACCCATTTTTGACTTTAAAGAGGAAGTCAACTCAAAAATGTGATATGCGGCCCAATGAGTCTAAAAATAGCATTTCTGATTAATAATGCGTTTGTGGAACATGAATTACATGTTGTGATTACATTTTTGAGTTGACTTCCCCTTTAACAATGAACATCCCCAACAAATCACATACAATGGAACCTTGAAAAGGGACATATTTTGAAAATTGGACTTTTGATTTGAGGTGGGGCTTTGGAATGGTCACCCACCCATTACGTGTGAAATCAATCCAGTAAATCCGCAGCTGTGTGTAGTGAGGTGCTCCATTTACTCACTTACGTTTTAGTTTAATTGTTGTCGTTTTAATGCAGCGTACTTTTTCCTTGTACTTTGTGAAGACAAATTGCTACTTTTAGTCTATCACATTGAGCCGCATTCCACTCGCTAGTTTAATTTCGATCTACAAAGAGATTTCCGCCTGAGGCGCTGTCCCATGACTCTGCACTAACCTCAACTCTCTTAATTGCAACGCTCCTCGATGCATTGAAAGTGACCTGAAAGTTGTTCTCGTGCCGCCATGTTCAGGAGAGTCTCAAGTGCATTGATGACCAGAAAGTGTGTGTGTGTGTTTGGCTCAACTCAGGGATGCTCGGTTTTAAAATTTCTTTCGAAAACAAATCAGAAGAATGACGCGTTTGTCTTCTTGGAGTACATTTCGTCTTCCTCCAATTCTCCGTTGATGTTTTTCCTTGTTAAACAGATTGAGGGGGGGGGGGGGGGTGGGGGCAAAAAGGCTGATACAAAATGTTCTGCTGCAATCTGAAAGCTAAACAGCCGGCCTTTACTTCCCCACTATGTCATGACATTCATGTGTGTCCTCTTCCACCAGCGACCCGCCGCTCGAGAAAGAGGCTCTCGGGTGTTGTGTGTGCTTGATTGGGCAGGCATGACCGACAGGACACATCACATCACATGCCTCTTTGCGGCGGATTAACAGGCAGCCCTGCGTTGAGATGGCGTTTATACCGACGCTCCTGCGGGGGCCAGCTTCATGTAGGCGAGGAGAAAATTCAATCACTGGCTAAAGGAAAAGAGCGTCATGAATGAAACGCCACTTAGGTTCCATTGCGGGGTTGGTTGCCTTTTTTTTTTTTTAAGCTGCCGAATGAATCGGACGAAAAAGAGCAAGAGGAGTCGGAGGGCAAGTTGCCATTCTGTTTCACTTTTGATCACATTTACTAGCAGTTATTCCCACGTGTCTATGATGGTGTTGACAGAAGCTGTTTAATTTCATCAAAAGTAATTTGCATCGACATGCGATGTTTTAGGTCACATTTTAACTATTTTGTCATACAAATTTAATGAAAACCAGGTAAATAAAGTGAAATGTGAACACAATAAGAATGCTCACTTACCTCAAACAATACAGCATATACAGTACTGATTTTTTTTTTTTTTTTTTTGCATACATTGTTACCGTACTTACCGTATTTTCCACACTAAAAGGCGCACTGGATTATGAGGCGCACCTTCAACGAATGGCCTATTTTGTAATTTTTTTTCATATACTGTATTGGCCGCACCGCATTACAAGATGCAATCTACAATGCATCCACTAGATGGAGCTATGCTCAAGGAAATGCCAACAGAGCGATCAGATGCCAGTAAAACGTATTTGATAAAGTTCACAGTTCACTTAACCAACAGCAAATTATAACATTGACTCATTAACGTTGAACTCTTGCCGTTCAACTGCGCCTTAAGTTTGGACTCTGCGTTGTCAGCATGTCTCGAGCAAGGAGCCATTTTGGGGTCGACATATTACCATAATAACCATACACAATGCGCATCGGATTTTAAGGCGCGCTGTGAGCTTTTAAGAAAATGAAAGGCTTTTAGGTTCTATTCCATTAGTGACCAACAAGTGGCATAGTGAAGCGTGGAAAGTCTGTCACGGAAATGCATGTGTGAGAAATGGGAACAACACACACTGACATATATGCACCCTCTCTTTTCATTTCTTGCCCATTTCCTCTCTTTACATTATGAGACTGTATATACCGTATGCCTCAGAATGCCCCCCCCCCAAAAAAAAGAACAGCAGGGGTTGCCGTTATTCCATTGCAACAAGTTGATTATGTGTGCGAAGGTCAATCGCCTGATGTGCGGCGGAGATTTTTCCACGGCTGTCCAGTTCAATCGTTTTCGTTTGCATCGCTCGGTGTGTGGCAGGCCTTAGGTTAATTGTTTCCCCAGGATTTTGGTCAAAGTCAAGAAATCGAGGATTGCTTTTGACTTTAAAGGTGATAATCATCTGGTAGAAATGATCTGAGGACGCCTGCATGTGCTTCAAATAGAACAGTGTTCTGTCAAACTCTCACGATCCTGTGTAGGGAGGGCGGGGCGGGCGCTAGAAAAGCGAACAGACGTCATTTTCAAGGCATATATGCACATCATGCGCACGATGTGGAGCGCTTCTCGCAATCCCCTGCGGTGAAAGACAACACTGAATGCGACGCGCCGAGGCCCGTGGGTACACGTTTGCGCTCGTGTTTCTTCCTCTTTTCTGTCACAGTCATGATGTGATTGACATCATTTAAACACGCGCCGCGTTCTGATGAAGACGCGTCACAGCTCGAGCTCGGCATATTGACAGTTTGAAAGAATACGCTTTCATTAAGGGACATATAGTGCTTGTAAAAATAAACAGGACTGACAATGAGATGAAACCTCAGGTTGTGTAGGGGGCGTCAAGGTGCGACGCCCCCACCCTGAAGACGACGGCTCACGCTTGCGAAGTCGAGCCTTCACACCTCTAATGTGATGCTGCCCACCCGTGCAAGGGTGAAACAACGATGATGAGGAGAAACACTTTTGTAGGACTCTTGACAAGTCGTATTGTTCGTGAGTGGCAAGTGTTAGCCTTCGGGGTCAGTGTGGGATTGAGTGGGTGGATGCACACTGTCTGGCTGGACGTCTCATAGTTTAAACTTCTATTACTTTAGTGGCATGCTTGCATTTTATTTTGGGTTATTCGCCAGTCGGATTCTGCTTCAGGATGAAAATTAAAGAATATGATCAGCACAGTGGAGGAGTGGTTAGCACGTCTGCCTCACCGTTGTGAGTTTTGAGTTTGAAAATCTGTTCCTGTCTTCCTGTGTGGAGTTGAGATGCTCTCCCTGTTTTCTCTTTGTACTTCTTATGCTTCTTGGACTATCCCCAAAACATACCTGCTGGTTCATTTAAGACACTGATGGTGTCGAACTCATGGCCTGGGGGCCAGATCTGGCCCGCCACATCATTTTATGTGGCCGGCGAAAGCAAATCCAAGATGTCAACTTCCATGATCCTTGCTAAAACCTGGACCAAAATTCATATTCTCATACGTAATAAATAAGACAACTATTGTCAGCAATTTCTTGTTACCAAACCCCTTGTGATTGTAACTTAAACAACAGTCTGGTTTAAGCTCGAGCTTAAACCGTTATTCTGGACTTCTTTGTATGGTTTCAGTCATAAGGGACCTCCAAGGGAAACGTTAACTAAAACGTAGCCCGTGATAAAAATGGGTTTGACACCCCTGATTTAAAACAAGACATTATCCATCGGAGTGAATGCAAATGAGAGTGTTTTTTTTAAAATTATTACTATTATTTATATGACCTTCGTAACGCCGATCAAATAGTATGTTTACACCGTCCTCGTTAATGTAGCTTGGCACTCAAACAGCCTGAACGCTACATAGATAGTCTTAGAGAGTTTAAAATATATTATCGTTGTTTAGTTAACGTCTGAATGTGAGCGTATGAAATGTACTGTAAGGCTGTGATATCTCTTCTCCTGTGACATAAAATCAATAACTTTTAAATAACCCTAAGTGTCGTTTTGGGCCCGAGGCATTGCAGCATTGTTCATTCAAGCCCGTGAGCATTTTAGGGGCTCGACAGAGAGTCGTTCATCCAAACATTCTCGACAGCCACCAACTCGTTGATATGAAATTGCATCTCAAAAGCTCGTTATCGACCGTTATGGTCTTTTGTCATTTATTTTCAGAGGCAAAAATCAAAATCTGGAACTTGGCCAGGCTGCTCTAACTCTATAAGCTGTGTCGGAAAAGGCTGATTCATTGGGTAGGACTTTATGGGGAGGAAAAAAAAAAAAGTATGAAGGCAGAAAAAATTAGTTCATTTGCATTTGTGATCTGCTGGGGATGGATAAATAGAACAGGAGCCATGGAGGTCAGCCGTGTGCATGCCTCGGATGGGCCTGCAGACACAAACCTGACAGGATGTCTGAAGTTGTGATAAATTGCCAGGGATACACACACACACACACACACACACACACACACACACACACACACACACACGCACACACACACACACACACACACACACACACACTCAAATAT